TTTTATTTTAGTTTTAAAAAGTTAAATAAATTTTATAGGAGAATTGAATTAATTTGTTTTTTATTTTAGAATCGAATTAATTTACTATTTTTTAAATACTAATTAATCATTAATTAATATTTCAGTGATATTTTCTAAGTTATAATTAAAATATATTTAACAATGGTTGAAAGAACAAGGCCGTCTGAAGACCATCTGTTCGATTATATCGAAACACAATACTTATCACGTTTTGAATAATAATTACATGATATCGAATGTTCTTAATACAAAATAAATCATCGATCTTTAATTACAATTAAATATAACGTTATATAATACATTACAGGTTATAGACATTGGCATGCAGACATCCGCATGGATGATACACCCCTGGAGGGGTCCTTGGGCTTTACTTGTAAATTGAAGACGTCAGTTCCTTTTTTGGGACGAGATATGTTAGAAAAACAGAAAAAAGAAGGTTTAAAGAAAAGATTAGTTTGTTTTACATTAGATGAGTAAGTTTATTTTAAAATATCTCAATTAAAATTTAATATAAAATGAATTATATACATTTATAATTTTGAGTATTAATATACTCATTTATTAATTATTTAAATAAAAAAAATATCCTTAAATGAGGAAAATAATTAACAAATATTATTTGCTACTGTTTAAAACCTGTAGTATCGATTTTTTAAATTAAAAATTATTGTAAAGTATTCAGTATAAAATTATTCAGAGGATAGGATTTTGGGTGTGTTCAGAAAATATTTGAGAGTGGAACCTAGAATTAAAATAATATAAAATTTATATATATACACTATAATTCTATTTTCTTCCTCAGTAATTCGTATATTTTCCTATATTATACAGTACTTATTCTAACTTTATATGTCAAAAAAATCTCTCGACACACATCTTAGTTTGAAAATATGTTAAATATATTATATATAAATATAAAATGAACTGGTTATAAATTTTTATATATATAAAATAATATTTTTTAAATGAAATCGAACTGTCAATAGAGGATATTCTTTGGCACGCTATAAAAGAATATATACTTGACATACAGAATGGGTAAAATTCGAATTTAGTTATTTGAAAATAGAAAATTTATTATTTAAGATATAGGCTACTGTTCCATATTTTAAAAATACGGAACAGTGCATCTTAAATCATAATTATTTCAATGATATAATAAATTATGTAATAGTATTGTGATAAGATTGATTTTGTAACATTGTTTAGGAGATACTGATAATGCGTAGTGGTCTACATTTTAGTATAAAATATGGGAAAATATATTAGTTATGGCGAGTTACAATTTATATATTAAAATTTATTATATAATAGTAAATCTTTACATATGTATAATACAAGAAAAATAGATGTTTATCAGAAAATAACTGTCCAGTTACATTCACTGAATGTGTAGTCCTGGATTTAGAATAATGAGATCAGTGATAAATATATTTGTATATAAATATTGGGCATTCCTTCCTAGAATTAGGTCAAAGATTACATTTCTTTGATGAATGCTTACTACAGAATCTTTTTTTTTTTTTTATCGACAGTAGTTTACAAGCCTATTTGTAATACAGACAGATCAAATAACCACAAAGAGTATGAAATTGTTTTAAAAAATGTAAGGGATTATGCTGCTGTTATTCTACTTCTTAAATTTGTATCTTGAGAAACCTGAGATACATTTTGTTTTCATGATTTTTCATAAATATATAATAGATAATAGAATTGTTTTGAATTTCTGAATTACTAGACAATTTAAAATTTGGGTGTCATATTCACACTTGAAACTGAATCTGTCTCCTAACGATTTGAAACCACCTTTCATGGTTAATGAATGATGATTGTCGTCGTTATAAAAAAAAAAAAAATATTAGTTAATTATTGACGTGATTTTATTCATTTTCTGAAATTAATTAAAATATTTCTCTTCCTCAGACCCATACCTTTGTGGGGTTTAGAAGCCATATGGCGCAATAATAGAATAGTTGGATTTCTTAGAAGAGGTGATTATGCCTTCGCTCTAGGAAAGAGCATTGGTTACGGATATGTAAAAGCCCCGGGAGGTGACAACATCAGTATCGATTACATTAAAAGTGGAGATTATAAATTGGAATGCATGGGCGTAACTTATCCTGCCAACGTGCACTTAAAAACGCCATTTGATCCTGCTAATAAAAGAATAAAGGGAATATACGACGAACCTCTACCTATATACGCAGATAAATACGTTTAATTAATGTTTTATACATTAAGAATTTACATTTGAATGATATATTTCCGTAAATATGTAATATAATTTTTTTATTATTATTATTATTAAAAGAATCAAGAATGGTTATAAACTATAGAATTTATTATATAGATTAATCTGTTTTTTAATTTAATTTTAATAAATTCTTTTGAAAATCTGTTTAAAATAATAATTAAAATTTAAAAAATTATTTTATAGCAATATTTTTATGCTTTTATTACAATATAAATACAAGTATTCAAGGTTAGAAAGATAATTTATAAAGAATTTTCTTTTGTTATTTTTATAGATTTTTTTTTTCCAAATTAATTTTAAAAGAACTTTTCCGTTTTCTACAGAATAGAACTAACTCTAACAGGTTCTTAAAAGAACTATTAAGAACTTATTAGAATCACGTTCTTGTTAATGAATGGAGCAAAAAATAATAATAATAATCTTTCTTCATTTAACATCTGTTGACGAAAGATAGATTTAGTATTATTCAGAAAACGAAGGTCGAACGTAACTGATATTAATCTTAATAAATTTTCTAACTAAAATGAAAATAATTCATCCGAATTGAACCGCATTCATTGTATTAGTGACATCCATGAAAACATTAAGATTGAAATCTTCTTTTAAACTTTTTAAAACAAATTTGTTTAAAAAATAAAACAACATTCCGACGATAAAAAAGAAAGAAAGAAAAATTCTAATTTCAAACTAAGATAGAATCACTACTATTAAAAAAATAATAATAATAGAATAAAATTCTTATGCATCATTTATCATACTGTCACATTGTTAACGGTGTCATGCGTGTCGATGCATTGAGAGACTATTCTACTAGAGGCGATGAAAAGTAATTTAGTCTCCCCTACATACATAAAAATAAAATTTAATGATTTGAAAAGTTTTAATATTTGAGCGACATTTTCTTAAAAACTTGCCTTGTAACAGATTGATTATTGAAAAAGTACTAATTAACATAACATTCTTGGATGAACAATTCAGCCGTATACATTGTTAGACAATTTGAATAACACTATTCAATGTTACCAGTTTTTATAAGAATCTTAGTATTAATTTCTATTGTATATATAAAACGAATAATAATACATCGATTATTATTATAATGAAAGTCACACTTGCTTATTGTTACTAATAATGATATTTTAGAGAGAGATTACAGATGTAAGTAGAAAATTCTACGTTAAAAGAGTGCAGTGAACCTTGCGATGGAATGGGGTTTCTTCAATTGTAATGCCTTGTTACTTATTGCTTGTGGCAATTATTTAATGGTTTGGCCGCATCTGACGAATAGGTAATACAATATGTGAAGTCTCATTAATTCTGAAAAGAAGTCTTCTGAAAATGGAAAGTATTTATTTAAAAAAAAAATTTAGGCTAGCTGTGCTTGAATATAAACTAGAATGCCAATTAAGATTCGCATTTAAAAAAAAAAAGTTAAGCTGCCTAGTTAATTAGATCCGTAATTAATACATTATTGACAGAATTAATTAATTGAATTTTTAATAGTTTATGATCAGGTCCAGATGAGTTTAAATGCGTGAGGCCTTTAACTTTATTCTCGTAGCTTGAAGCAGTAGTTTAAGTTTGTTTATTTCTAAACTAAACGAGCTAAACTTAAAGCCTCAAGCTATGAAGTTTGAAAGCTCACGCTTTTAAATTCATTATTTGGTGGAAGGAAAGATCTCTTATGTTATAGCTTATTTCATCTTTATGACTAACAAATAAATTGTCATTTCTGTTAAGTCATTACTATCAGAAATTCAGAAATTAATTATGAATTTGGCTTTTAATTTGTATCTGTTAAAAAAAAAATTAGAAAATGTCAAATATATATTACCTCAATTTTATGTAATAACGGATTATTCAAATTGCTCACAGCAGGCTATTAAGAGGCCATTCGAAAATTATTGGACCAGCATAAAATACTGAAAAATCCGGTTATAATCGGATCCGTGTAACAATTTTGTTAAGATTATAGGAGATCTATTTACAGTTCTAGCTTAAAAAAGATCATGAAAAAAAAATAAACTGGTTTAGATCCATTATCAAGTCTAGCCGAATCATTTGGAATCAAACCCCTCTTCATCACCGAATCGATAAAATGATTGCCACATATAATTTTCATGCATTTAATGTCGGTCATCAAAATTATTCGAATCTTACATTCAAAGTTGAGCTTTGAAGAAATTTTTATATGTTGCGGGTTTTTCACAATCTTAGAAATATAGAAATAGGACTAAAAATCTATTATGAACTTTCTCAAGTCATCTCAAGTCCCGAGACGTTCATAAAGTGAAGTTCATAACGAAAGAAATTCCTATATGTGAAAAGTATTGGGACCATATTTTATATATATTAATTAAAAAATTCCTCTATATTTTGCCAAACTTTATTATTTAAAAAATCAACGCTTTTTAATAAATAACCTGGGGCTTCAAAAAGGTAAGTGGCTCAGGTCTCTCAAGACATTTGAAGGGCCCAGGAATCATCTCAGTTTTTATTGCTATTATCATTGTGATCACAATTTATTACAAAAAATAATTGGCTAACTATTGATATTTCTGTTTATCTGTGAAAATAAACATCATTTAGGAATTTTCAGGATTTTAATGAATTGGTTAAGGGATGGGCAACATTTTCAAGCGTGCGTGCCAAAATCGACAAATCTATGTTGCAAAATTTTCTCACTTGTCAACCAAAATTTGTGTACTTATTACTAAAACAATTGATAGTGTTTGCTTCTTTTGTTGCATTTTTATTTAGTATCAATAAAACTGTATTCTATTAATTTAATATATACAATGTTGGATATTTACTTTTTAAGGTGAGCCCTTGGTTGCGTGACGGAAAAAGTCGTTGGCGTGCCAATGGTGGCCCATCCCTGAACTAGTTAATGTTCAGCTGGAGACGTAACATATCTAGATAATATGTCACTATATAAAAATATGTCACTTATCAAGTATCGACATTCAATCTTTTTAAATACGAACATAAGAGAAAGTCGAAATTTAAAATTTTCCTTGACACAATTAACAAAATTAACGTAAACACTCCGTTGAAAAATGGTGTGTTTATATCAATTTTATTTCCTTTTGTCTCTAATCTTCATTCAAAACGCGTTGTAAATGAAGATTATAGACGTGTAACTTGAAACGAATGCTCTCATTTGGACATTATTAAGCAACAAACGTGTCTAAACGCTTCGGGACTAGCATTTTCCTAATTTTCTTTGAACGCATTTAATTAAATCTAGGTAAATGATAACTTTCAAATGTTCATTGTCTCCTCCCTCTTTATAAAGACTTTCTATCTTTTATCGGTTATCAGGTCGGGCATTATGGATTATCCACTTTTAATTATAAGATCGGGATATACATCTGACATATGGAACATCCAGTTTGCAATTAATGTATTCATAAAAAACAAGATCCGGATTAGTACAGGGGACAGGGAGAACACGCATCTGTGTCCTTGATCTCAGGAACTCGTGTTGAAGATCTACATTAGAACCTCTGTTATGGGATCAAATCGAATATGGATAGATCGTGGTTCCGATTTGATCCCGTATGATTTGAAAGAAAATTTAAAAAGTACTTTTATAATGGTTAAAATTAATATTTTAATTTTTAATTATTATATTTAAATATATTTAAATTAAAANTTTATTTGTTTGTAAGCTTAAAATAGATTCTTATTAACCATACATTATTAAAAATGCATTAATAAATAAAATACAGAACTGGGAATAGTAAATTATAGTTTAGCCTAGTGACAAGTAGATTCGGAGACAAGTAAATTCGACTTACGTCGTTTTTCGACTTAAGTCGTTTTCCTGGAACCAATTACCGACGTAAGGCGAGGTATACCTGTATAACAATAAAGAAAGCTCTTCGTTTCAAGAGCTAAGAAGATAAAATCTATAAAAAGTAGAAAAATTTTACATTTTTTACAATGAATAACGCATAAAACATTGTTTAAAACTATTGATTAAATTGAAAACAGGTCATAAAAATTTATTTCCATAAATGATTTTGTTGTTATTGAAAATCAAAACTGGCAGAAAGCATCATTTATAACACCTGGAAATTATTTGTTTGTCAGCTGAAAAGTATACTAAAAGTGTCAATTATATTCAAATATTTCTTTTAATAATAATAATTTCTTTTTTCTGACTTTGTAATTACTACAAACTTACATTGAATTCTTCTTTTTTAAAATATATGGTTTGCTTATAACTCTAGGTAATACGATCCACAAACCAATATAATCTAGAATTTCCTCCTCCGTGATGAATGACGGAAATAAGTAATTCAGTATAGATAAAGAATAGCTAATGAAATAAGTTTCATGAATTATTCATCCGAAAAAACTCATAATAGTTCAGATCTGATTCAAAAGTGTATTCTCTATACAGTAAAAATAACCTTTACAATACAACTATCAGATCAAAATTTCGACAGGTTTTATAGTTATGAATTGCTTCAGCTGCACGAAATAATAATAATAAGTACAGTCTACTAATCCTGTTTCCGTTCTCTATATAACTACTGTATGCACCAAACAGTGAAATAAATACACAATATAAACTTCTCCCCACAGCTTGAGGAATCAATATTAATTCAAGTTATTCTATACATTATTTTTAAATTACTTTCTTTATATTTTATTTATATCGCTTGATTACAGTACGATTAAATCTAGTTCACAATTTAGAAATTTTCTTACAACCAGTTCATGCTTGGGTTGAATTGAATTGGATTCATACCTGTGACTTTCAACATCTAACGGATTATCGACTGCAGTGTCATTTATTAAAAAGGACTGACACAATAGAACTGGTCGGCACGAGTAAAGAACGATAAACAAAGTTACTATTCAAATTATCCATTTAAAAAAAGTATTTAGAATAAGATAGGTTTGAATGCAAATCCCTCATCACGTTAAACACGCATCAATCGACTGTCTGACTGACCAAATCAAGAAATAAAAAGAAAAAAAAAATTCTATTTGTAGGAAATTACTTTCACGAAAATGCAGAAAATTCGTTTTTACTTTTCCGGCTCTGT